TCTTCAGGTGATTTTTATGCTCCCTATTAAGAATTTACTGGTCTAGCTCCTCAAGTGACACGTATCCCATGAATTTCAGGTATCAATGCAGTGTCATGCTTACAGCCTGTGCTCTGATCCCGGCTAGCCAGTTTGCAAATGTGTGCTGAGTAGGATGTGGATGATTTGATACAAACCCAGCTCCCGTGCTAGAAAAACCATATGGTACTGTTCTACAGTGGGCCAAGGGAGCCATCTTCACATATAAGAGTAGTATATTAGTTTTTATTTCTTCTTAGAACCTATTTGATGAGGTTAATCTAGGAGTAGATTAATTACATTAGAAAGAAATATATCAAACCTACTCATCATAGGGAGGCAGACTGGTGCCAGGAATAAAGCAAACTGGAGAAGGAGGTCAAGAAAATTCTTGGTTCTAGTGCTGACTTTGTCTTTAATGTGGTCAAATCACATTAACTTTTTTGGGTCTAAATAAGTCTAGATGACTTCCTTGATTTCCAAAGCTTTTTTCAGCTCCAAAATTTTGATTCTGGAGAAAGATCTGTGTTTTGAGCATAATATTTTGAAATGGGGACAAGTGATGAAATGTGGAGCTGAAATCAGGGCAAACTTGTCTCTAATCTGCTTAATAGCTTCTTTACAATTAATATTCATTGCAGGTCAGAATCCAATTATTCAGCAAAAAGCAGCATGAGATCACCTTCTAACATCTCTCCAGCTCCTTTGGGGTAGGTGAAAAGGGCTTTCCGTGGTGGGGCAAGGTCTGAGACACTGAAACCAGATCCAGTGACAGAACTTCCACTGACCCCACCAGCTGAGGAGGATGATGAAGAGGCAGCCATTTCCTCTCTAGCAGAATTCTCACTTCACTACAGAGAAAGAAAAACAGCAATTGGCAAGTTTATGGAAGTGAGACTGACAACATTTCATTCTAGCTGCCATAAAAGCCAGCATACAGTTTAGTAAAGAATTAGCTCCCCCTTTTTCTACCCTCTCTGTTCCCACAATCTTTTACTGATTGTGCCTCATACCAAAATGTCTCTTAGGATTTTATGTGAAAGTATGTTTATTCTGTTTTTCTACTTAAAACACTTACTTCCTATCATTAGCAAACTGTTTATATGGCTTGGGATCGACTGTGGGTGATTTATGGGTTATGAAGGGGTGATATGGCAGTGCCGAGGTAGCCATTTGACTGAGGAAATAAATTTTATGAGGATAAAACAACATGCCTCATAGGACAGTTTGTCTTGGCTACATCCTGACAAAGCCACACCAAAAAATTCACTTATAAAATTTTCCAAATAAAATTCCAGAATAACACTGTGTTCTGTTCCCAAGGAAAGGGAATTGGTTAGGAAATACATATTTGTCCTTTCATTAAAAATGTTTTAAAAACTTTTTCATCCAAATGTAATACCCAAATTGATCACTTGGTGGCATCCCCAAACTGGAAGAAAATAGCTCATAAAATGATCTTCAAATTCATGGTTTATTATGAATACAGCAGCTGTGTTTAACCCTATGTCATATCAAAAAGCCCAAATGCAAATGGGAAAATCTGTACTGAATACATGATTCCTTACAGAAGTTCAAAACAAAAATACTACTTTTTGCCACTGAAGCTTATATTACATACTTAAATAAGATTCTAAGATGTTTATGTTTTCTAAAAAGAATAGTCTAGCACTGTGCTAATAGAACTTTATGCCATAATGGAAATGTTCTAACATTTCTGTGCAGTCCAACATGATAGCCATTAACCTCACGTGGCTATTAGTCCAGTATGACTGAAGAACTGTGTTTTAATTTAAAAAATTAAAAAAAAAAAATCCCTACACCAACGTGGGGCTTGAACTCACATCCCTGAGATCAAGAATTGCATGCTCCACCAACTGAACCCAGCCAGGTACCCCGGAAGAACTGTATTTTAGATTATGTATTTAATATTAATTGAAATTTAAATAGCCACATATGGCTAGTGGTTACTGTACTGGATAGTACAACTCAAGTATTTAGACAAAAAAATAACTATACTGAATTGTATGCTTTAAGATAGCTAATAGTTAATTTTATGTTATGCGAATTTTAGCTCAATTAAAAAAAATGACTTTTAAAAAATGGGGCGGCCTGGGTGGCTGAGCGGTTGAGTGTTTGCCTTCAGCTCAGGGCATGATCCTAGGTGCAGGAATCAAGTCCCGCATCAGGCTCCCTGTGAGGAGCCTCTTCTCCCTCCATCTATGTCTCTGCCTCTCTGTGTGTCTCTCATGAATAAATAAATAAATAAATAAATAACCTTAAGAAAAAAAGGATTTAAAAAATGAATTTCCCTCTTTAATGGCCACCGAGAATTTTAGCCGATTTTTCCCTTCTTTTGCTAGTTGCAAAATAAAGACATTTGTTACAAAAGTTGGAATTTTTTTTTGAAAAAAAAAAGAAAAAATAAGGGTATGCTATTCGGATATAAATCCTATATATACATAATCCAGTTTCTTAGGAAGAAAAATGATATACTTTGCCTTTCTGAAATGCTGGCTGTTCTCGTTTCCTTAATTTTGCGATGATGACTTAAGGCTGTCAGGGCAGCAGAGTTTAGTTTCTGATTTCGTTATATGTCCATAAGTAATATGATTATAAATGAAGAGGGATATGGGAAGAGTAAGGCAACTGCTAGAACCAGAATGTCAGCCTATTTAAAAATACAAATTGATTACGGATATTGTCAAACTTTAAGATCACCTTTTTTCTCTGAGCTCTATAACTTCCAAGTTGTATTCGTATTCATAGAGCCGACAACTTTTCAAGCTGGATTTATATCCAATACTCTGGGCAACACTAGCTTGATATATAGCTTGACAGGTTCTTAAATGCTCTTTTAAACAGAATTTAAGCAGTAATGGACCTGGTCTAAATTTCTAAGTGGATTCTTGTTGGGATTCAAACAAAGAACACAGATAATTTAGCCATCTTTTGGGCAGGTACTCAGTCTTATTTTCCACCAGTTCAGAGCAGAACCTACAGTGAAGTGTTTATCTCACCTAAGACTTAAAACTCTAATCTTCTTCCTACACCTTGAAAAATTCTCTATTCAGTTGCAAATGCAAGGGATACTTTATATTTTGAAATCAGTTGCTCAGCACAGCTCCCTAGGGACTGCCAGAGTGAGGACAGCTTCAAAGGCTAGACGCAGTGTGACTTCTAAACTGAGTATAATCAAAGGAATTCCCTTTCATCTCATTTTCCTTCAAACTCAGAACTACTATCATTCAATACACAAAATGGCCAGGGTTGGAAACTGGAGTGTGCAATTAGCACAAAGCTACTTTTACATAAATAAGCAGTTTACTGCTGAGGTAGATAGAATAACACCTAAGTAATTTCTAGCTTTAAAGATTCAGGTTGAATTTTACATGCTGTCAGCAGATGGTAACAGGAAGTAGAGTGAAGCGAACAATAAACAATAAACCCCTGCTTTGTCACACTGCTTTATGAAGGCAGGCATTCTGATCATCAGAACCAAATACAATGCTTGGCCTATACTAAGTAGCTGTTGATTTAAATAAATGCTTGCTAAATGAATTAAACATTTCACAGGAACCACAAAATTCCTTAAAGGTCATCTTGTTGGATTCCCTCGCTTTACAGAAGAACAAACAAAACTGAGCTATACAAACGTTAGCTTACATGCTGTGACATTCTTCAAGCAATGGCTTTGTGGGCATATCATGTGCCATGTGAGAGGTAAAACAGCATAGTGGTTAGAGTTCAGGCTCTGGGTTCAGGTGGTGGTTTTGCTATTTAGCTTGCTGTATGGCTCTGGACAAATCCCTTCACCTCTCTGCTCCTCAGTCACCTCATCTCTAAGATGGGGATAATAACAGTACTTCCTTCATAAAGGTGTCACAATGGTTAGTATAACCAAAGCATTTGGGATAGTCACAGGCATAATAAACATTCAGTATCAGCTATCCAAAATTAGTAATGGATATTTACTCCTGAATCCCCCCCCCCATGCAGATCCCAGTTTTTTATCCATAGTATGTCCAAACACACTCAAGAGAGGTGTTAATTCTCTGCGCTTGGCAGAGTCAGAAAGCTCGCAGAAGGGAAAGGATCTCTGCTCAGCAAGAGGGAAGGTGCCCTCCATCAACGTACTTGACACTCTCCTTTTTAAGGTTCAGGAGTTTAAGAAGAATTCTATGATCTAGGAAAACAGGGGTGGTGGTGGTGAAATGAGTTGTCTTTCTATCCTCGAGGCCTAGCACACAACCTGGGTCAGAACGTTTCCTGAATGAATACCGAACAAATGACAAGAACGCAGGGCTAGTGGCTCAGCAAAGGTTACAAGGGAGGGATGGAGAAGCGGGCTGTCACGAGGGTTGGTCCATTATTGAGGTTTTTTTTTTTTTCTTTTTTTTTTCCCCGTCCTCATTCTGCAGATCTAATACATTCTGTATTAACACAACTCTCTCCCACCCCAGGCTGCTGGGCCCCAGTCAGGTCCTCCGCAAAACTCTGCCTAATGAATAAATGTTCATGATGAAGTAGCCTGGGCTTTGGCTCTCGAAGGGAAGCTGAGTCCGTTGGCCTTAGAGATGCCCAGAGCAGAGCAAGGCCACCTGGGGGGGGGGGGTAGGGGGGCGCAGCATCTACTCCAGGTACGAGGGATGACTTCCGTTTTCATCAACTTTACTTCCTGTCGGATGTATACCTATTAAAAAGAATTCCTCCCTTTAGAAGAAGTCTCCTTACGAAAATGATGCTTTAGGAAAGTATTTCTGGCACGATGCCAGATTATTAGAAGCAATCGTCGAATTCCACCATCAACAAATCGTTCCACTTGAACCGCGAGCTCACCACCCAAACCGAGGCAGCAGCTAAACACCAGGTGCGGTGGCGGAAAAAAAAAAAAAAAAAAAAGGAGGGTGGGGCTGGAAACCGGGAGGGAAGAGCGCCCGCGGCTGCTGCCAAACCAACTCCAAGGCAAGCTTTTCCTGCCCTTTCCCCGCTCGGTCTCAAGGGGGCGATGCTACCCGCGCCGCCCCACCGCGCAGGCGCCAGCTCTCCGCGCGCATGCGCACCCCGTCCGGCGCGGCCTAAGGAAATTTCCTCTCTCACGCTCCCACCGAAGCAGGCTCCAGTCTCTCCTCCTATCTTCTCCATTTTACTAGTCCCTGCAGGTAGGATCCCACGGATCGACTCCCTTCCACCAAGCTCCCGGGAGGTCCCTAAGCCTCGGCCACTTACCTCAGCGGATTTGGCGCTTTCCCCTACAGCCCCGCCCCCAGGGCCAGCCAGAGCGGCAGCCTTTACAACGACGAGGACGGCGGCGTGCGCGCGCCCGCGCAGAGGAAGCCGGCGGCGTGCGCGCGCCCGCGCGCCGGGAGGGGTGGGGTGGGGGCGTGGCCGGGGCGTGGCCGGGGCTGGATCGCGCGCGCCCGCAGAGGACTTCCGGGTCTTGCGCGCCTACCTGGCTTTCCCGCGGGGTTCCTGCCGCCCCGGGGTTCCTCGCTGTTTTTGGCTTGTTTTTATGATTCTAGGCTTCACCTTCCCCCACGACATCGAAGGCCCTCTGCTCTCCGCGCTCTCCAGACTGCCCCGAAGCAGGGTTACGTGGGTCAGCCCCCGTCTTTCAGACAGTCTCGTAGGCCCGGTGCCCTACGGAAAGGCAGGTGAAGTTCGCTGTCCCTTACTCCAGAGCCGTGGTCTGAGGGTCCGACCTAATCATCAACGTCTCCTTTTGTGAAGCGCCTATTTTTTATTTTTTGATTTTGTGAGGCCCTGGGGAATAGGCCACCACGGGCGTAATGTCAGTGCTCTGTTGCTGATGGATCCCGGCGTCGTCCGAGGGTTTATCTTCCATGTTGTGACTTCTCACAACGCAAAATCCCCCCTTGGTTCTGTAAGCACGTCACCAGCCACAGTGACGTCACTTGCTGAGGGTTGGATTGGGCTTTAAGTACTTAGTGCATTGATCAGTTGCACTTACTTGTGCACATGATCAATGCACAAGTGCATTAAACAAGTGCATTAAGTGTTTTTTGGGCTTTAGTTGTTTATTTTTTTATTTACTTTTTTTTTTAAAGATTTTGTTTATTTATTCATGATAGACACAGAGAAAGAGAGAGGGAGATAGAAAGAGACACAGAGACACAGGCAGAAGCAGGCTCCATGCAGGGAGCCTGACGTGGGACTTGATCCCGGGACTCCAGGATCAGGCCCTGGGCTGAAGGCGGCGCTAAACCGCTGAGCCACCAGGGCTGCCCTGGGCTTTAGTTGTTTAAATTGAAACTTAAATTTTAATGCACTGTTTAAAGTTTAAATTTTAATGCATTACATTTTAATGCCTTTTGTGCCCAAAATGCACAAGTGCATTAAGTAATTGTTTTGGGGCTTTTTCTTTATTTGTGGGCTTCCAAGACCGTAACCTATGTGGTTAGAAACATTGGTTGAACTTAATTTTTTTTTAATTTATTTATGATAGTCACACACAGAGAGAGAGAGAGAGAGAGAGACAGAGAGAGGCAGAGAAGCAGGCTCCATGCACCGGGAGCCCAACGTGGGATTCGATCCCGGGTCTCCAGGATCGCGCCCTGGGCCAAAGGCAGGCGCCAAACCGCTGCGCCACCCAGGGATCCCACATTGGTTGAACTTAATCACAGCTAGCCAGTAAGGAACCTTTGTTTCCTTAATTTTTTTTTTTTAAAGATTTTATTTATTTATTCGTGAGAGACCACAGAGAGAGAGGAAGAGACACGGGCAGAGGGAGAAGCAGGCTGCCCATGAGGAGCCTGATGCGGGCCTCCATCCTGGGACCCCAGGATCACGACCTGAGTGGAAGGCGGATGCTCAACCACTGAGCCACCCAGGTGCCTTGTTCCCTTAATTCTTGGCTCATTAAGTGGTGACTAGAAGCTTGGCTTCTCAATGAGCTATGTACATCTTTGAAGAGTGGCCTATAGAAATGGATTCCTCCCCTCAGCAGTGTGTTGGTTTGAAGAACCATGTTGGTTAAGTCATGTTTTAACTGTTCTGATGGGCAACAGGACCTAATTCTGAGGTATATATTTCTTGCACCTCTAAAAGTATTTAGGGGTTATTTACCCCCCTGAAGGATAAGTGTGCTACACATTCCTAATCCTCTTAATTATCATGCTGGATAAAAAGAGTGAGACACTTAGCGAATGGTTAGATAAACATAGAAGGTTGTATCCTACTTCAAGTTAAAATAATAAAGACATCTGTTCTCTCAAACTCACAGGCTGTATAGAGAGCGAAGAGTATCTTTTAATCACCATTTCTTAGAATGCTGAAATAGTTTACAGATTACTGTCTAGGGGCACCCGGCTGGCTCAGTTGGTGGAGCAAGTGACTCGAGCTCAGGGTTGTGAATTCGAGCCCAATTTTGGGTGTGGAGATTACTTAAAAATAAAATATTTGGAAGCACAAACAGGGACGCCTGGGTGTCTCAGCGGTTGAGCACCTACCTTTGGCCCAGGGTGTGATCCTGGAGACCCGGGATTGAGTTCCGCATCAGGCTCCCCGCATGGAGCCTGCTTCTCCCTCTGCCTGTGTCTCAGCCTCTCTTTCTCTGTGTCTCTCATGAATAAATAAATAAAATCTTTTAAAAAAAAAGAAAGCAAAAAAAAATTACTGTCTAGAGTGAACCAGGCATGGAATGCTGTCGTGGAAAATATAAAAACTGACTTAAAATAGCTTGCAGATCAGGGAAATCTAATGGAAACAGTGCTGCTTTTGTTTAGGAAGTGCTGTGAACTGATGTCTGATTACATAATGATCCATAAAATAGAGATAGGGTTTTATTTCTGATTAAAACAGGGTAAGGTGATCATTTGTTTTTCAGGATTTCACAAGAATATTGTTCAAAGAAAGTATCATGGAAGTTCTGCGCCCACAACTTGTAAGAATTGGTGGACGGATTTACAGAAAAAATCCCATCCAAGAACAGACTTACCAACATGAAGAAGAAGATGAAGACTTCTATCAAGGTAATCCTAGTTGTTCTTTGGTCACATTAGTACAATGTTCTTTGCACTGTGGAAACAATGCTTTAAGTGTTTCTATGTGAACACTGAAATTTGAGCTATTTGGCTTCTACCTAGCTCCATTTGTGTTGACATAGTCTAAGGGGACCGATGACTTTAAGTTTGATGAAGCATTCTTATTTGCACTTCCTAAATCACGTTTCATCTTTGGGCAGAGACTTAAGTATAATAAGGAGTAATTTTAGTAAACTGTTAATGTTAACCATGAATATTCTGTGACAAAATTAAGCTCCTTTTTTTTTTCTTTTTAAAGATTTTATTTATTTACTCATGAGAGACAGAGAGAGAAAGAGAGGGAGAGACACAGGCAGAGGGAGAAGCAGGCTCCATGCAGAGAGCCCGATGTGGGACTCGATCCCGGGACTCCAGGCTCACGCCCTGGGCCGAAGGCAAGACGCTCGACCGCTGAGCCACCCAGGGATCCCAAAATTAAGTTCCTTTATCTGTAAAGTTGTGAAATAATATATATAAGTTGGTGAAATAAGTGAAATATGTATTTTGTCCAGTGCCCCAAAATGTTAACTGTTGTTATTTGTTTCTTCTTTGTACTCATACAGGCAGTTCCAAATATACAACTAACATAAATAGGGATAATTTTAAGAAGTAAACAGTGGAGATAGATTATGAATATTTTCAAGCCAATTAACTTGGGCATGAGTTTAATGCCTCAGTAGAGCTTTTCAGGTTCTCTGCTTCCTTTTCCTTTTGGTTTATAAGCTTTCCCATCAGGCCGTAAGCCTTGGGGATTTGTCTTCCCTCTGGTTTTCCCCATTGTTTCCCTTCAGCCTTGGGGACTTGACCTTCTTTACTTGACCCTCCTGTGTTTTTAACTGGCGGAATGGAGTAAGTTCTCCCGCTGCTACTCCTGTCTCATTCACTGAAGTAATGTTGTGTTTTAACACTAAAAACTGCTTACTTGCCCACTGTTAGAGGATACATTATGTTACGTGAATTCTCCATAAAAAGAAAAAAAAACTTTTATTGTCTTTGTTTTTTGGGGAGAAAACAGTTAAATGGTGGCATGTATATACTACTTTTCCAAGGTTCTAAGACTGGAAGATTTAAACTAGTCATATGTTTTTTGTTTTTCTTCTAAGAGCAGGTCAGGACTGTTGGAGCAGCATTCTGCAATATAAAGTCTTGGGCTATTCTTTGTGTATATGTGTTTTTTGAAACCTTGAGCATGGTTGGCCAGTGGTGAGAAGACTGCTGTCCACAGAGCAGCAGCTGTAAGCGAGGTGTTATGGTTTCTCTGCAGGCTTTGTGGAGTGTGCAGAGGAGCCCTGTGATGCCTATGAGGTGGTGCAGACACAGCAAGGTTTCCGGTGTACGGTGAAGGCCCCCAGCTTGCTCTACAAGTGAGTGCCCCCCCCCCCCCCCGCCAGCTTCACGGGAAACACTTCCAGGAAACTCTTCAGGAAGCTGACTCTTTCCCATACATATTGCAGTGCTTGACTACTAATGGCAAAACAGTTTCGTGTTTTATGTCTCAGAATTTCTAAGGACTGATTATGGATCAGTTTCATCATTCCAAATGTATCACCAAGCCATGTTGATTTTGCCTCTTAACTATCTTTTGAGTCTACCACTGATCGCATTCTTTATTGAAAGACCAGCACCCTGCTGCATCTTTTTTGGGTTATTTCAAACAGCCTATTTACTAGGCTGTCCGCATTGATTATTGTTCTCCCAGTCGGTTCTTCACATTGATCTTTCTATAAGGCAAATGTGATTATTACTTTTGCTTAAATCCGTCAACTTCCTTCCACTGAAGATGGAATTCTGTTCCACTATAGTGCTGGAATCTGAATGTGACTTAGCCAGCCCTGCATTTTTCAGTCTCAACTCCTTTCACTCTTCTGGTTTTGCACTTATGCCTAGCTAGTTTTCTTCAGTTCTTGAAATATTCCTTTGCTCCTTCCTATCATAGATCTTTGGCACATGCTATTCCTTTTGCCTTATAACTCTCTTTCTTACCTAGTTATATTCTTCCTTAGGGAACCTTGCTTTGACACCATCATCCCTACCAACGACACTGATTACCGTATATTTTCATAACACCCTCTGCCTTTCCTTTGTAGAATTTTTCAGCCATGCATTTATATTTATTTGCGTACTATTTGATGTCTTCTCTGCAGATAGGAGACTTCTGGAAGGCAGGAATGTGTCTATTCAATTAATCTCCAGTGTTTGTCAAAGACTGGTATGCTTTCTTCAAGGTTGCCATTATGAATTTGCTTGGAAACCTTGTGATCACTTCAGTTGGTGCTTGCTTGCTTTCATGATTGCCTGCACTCTGTCTCACCACTATCATGGTTAGCTTATGTGGCTAACTGGCTTCTTTTGGGCTGACACCTGTAGAGATAGGCTCGCCTAGGAAGTGTGTAAATTGTTTTTCTGTTGTAGCAGGTGAATTAAGTCTGTTCAAGTTCCTCTGTGAAAGGAGATCTACAAATATGGAATCATATGCCTGTAAGCTCCAAGAAGCAAATCATTTTATTTTCACCAATCTTGAAAATATTCTGAAACACCTATTAAGGATGAAATCCTTCTCTTGGAATGTGGCCAAATGAGAAACCAAATGCTAAATCTGACAGCTCATTCTTCTTTAAGGTTCCAGTGACATTTTCTTCCAAAAAACAGGATTTTAGAAAGTCATGGTTCAGTTTCCTGATGAAATCAATGTAACAATGTAATTTCCTTCGTGTGTATATTTGCTACCACTAAGGTGTATAAAAATTCCTTAGATGTTTGATTCCAATTTCATGATCTTCTGAATTCTACATATTCTAAGTATTCATTATATTTTAGATGACTTGCATGTTAGATTATGTATTGGTTCTGCTCAATTGTAATTAATAGACAGTATTTACTAGGAAGATCTTTTTTTTTTTTTTTTAAGATTTTATTTATTCATGAGAGACAGAGAGAGGCAGAGACATAGGCAGATGGAGGGGAAGCAGGCTCCATGCAAGGAATTTGATGTGGGACTTGATCCCAGAACTTTGGGATCATGCCCTGAGCTGAAGGCAGGCATTCAACCACTGAGCCACTCAGGTGTCCCAAGATTTCTTTCTTATTAATCATTTCCATAGGTTCATTTAGATCAAAGACTTGACCAAACTGATTTATAATCAAATCCTAATGGTGGTAACATGTATCCATTGGCTAGATGTAATAATACTTTATTTTAGTTCCCGATATCAGATGCACATTAGAATCACCTGGGGAGCTTTTAAAACTCCCTATACTTGGGTGCACCCCAGACCAATTAAATCAGAATCTCTGAGAGCTGGACTCAGGCATCATTAGTTTTTGAATCTCTCCAAGTGATCCCAGTGTGTAGCCAAGATTGAGAATCACTTGATCTGGTAGGAATTTCTTTGTATATTTAATAAACGAGTCACCTTTTCACTGTGTATCTCTTATTATTGAAATGAATGTTTTAGATTCCCCATGTAAACCTCTTCTGAATCTGGCTATGCTGTTAATTGGAAAGATGTCATTATGAGCTTAATGAGGATAGTATGGACTGTACTGAGCTATGTGCCAGTCACTGGGAAGCCCTTTTATACATGATCACGTTTAATCTTTATTTTTTTTATTTTTTTTCACGTTTAATCTTTATAAGAACTTTATTATACTTAGTTATAATAATTCACTACATTTTTGTAAGTGAAGAAATAGGCTTAGAGTGGTTAGTGACTTGCCCAGGACTTGTTTGAGTCTAAAACTTCTTTAACCTCAACCATTTCCTTTCTAAAATGGCTAGACTATTAACACCTTGAGCCAGCTATTTTTGTGTGTGTGTATATATTTTTAAAGATTGTATTTTTAACTAATCTCTACATCCAACATGGGGCTCGAGTTTACAACCCTCAGATCAAGAGTTGCACCTTCTACCGACTGAGCCAGCCAGGTGTCCCAAGCCAGCTGCTTTTTGTAATAGGTTCTCTTCTGGCCACATGCTAACAAACAGTAGTCTGGGTGAAAGTACCCCTATTGATAAGGCCTGGAAAGACAAAAGCCGACAAAGTGGGTGCCATTGAATCTCTAGTCCAACACAGAAAACCACAGGGAAATTATGGCATTTTAGTCTTCTTCTAAACATCTTGTTTTTTTGTTTGAACTAGCTTACTACGGTGGATCTTAATGGAAGTAACTGGGCTGGTTATTCCATGTAAAAACAAATGCACAGTTTTAGACCTAGTCATCCATGTTGTTGGATACTGTAATTGAAATCGTAGAAGCTGAAATGCCGTTGATGATGAAGTTTTTTTCTCATTATAGTCTTCTCTTTGAGTCTTTAATGCTTTAAAGACTGAAACTTTTCTCCTGGGATCCAGTGGTCTCATTTACTCTAACACCTCTAATTACTATGGGCCCCAGAAGATAACCTTGGATTGTCAGATTTATTCTAAGTGGCCCAGGAAGTAATGTAAGTGAGTAAATTGAAGTAGAGTAGATGAAACGGAGTAGGGAGTGATGGGGATTGTGATGAGCCCCTGTTCCAGTTTTAGGGATGAGAGTAAGCTCCAGCCTATTATTGCTGTGAGTTGACAGATCTAATTTTTATTTTATTTTATTTTATTTTATTTTATTTTATTTTATTTTATTTATTATTATTAATTTTTTATTTTATGATAGTCACACAGAGAGAGAGAGAGAGAGAGAGGCAGAGACATAGGCAGAGGGAGAAGCAGGCTCCATGCACTGGGAGCCCGACGTGGGATTCGATCCCGGGTCTCCAGGATCGTGCCCTGGGCCAAAGGCAGGCGCCAAACCGCTGCGCCACCCAGGGATCCCCAGATCTAATTTTTCTAAAAAACCCGGAAATCTATATTTTTAAGGTGAAATTTCCCAATTTTTAGACGAAATCTCCTGAACAAAACATGTATATGTGAATTCAGCCTGAGAGTTACCTGTTTACTCTTTTTGCTTTTGAAGCTATTCTGGATAATCTGTCCTAAATGGTGGGCCCTTCTCTTTGCTAAGTTCCTTACTCTTACTTTATTTATCAAGGATAATTATTTTATTTATTTATTTATTTATTTTATTTTATTTTTTATTTTTTTTTATTCATGATAGTCAGAGAGAGAGACAGAGAGAAAGAGGCAGAGACACAGGCAGAGGGAGAAGCAGGCTCCATGCACCAGGAGCCCGACGTGGGATTCGATCCCGGGTCTCCAGGATTGTGTCCTGGGCCAAAGGCAGGCGCCAAACTGCTGCGCCACCCAGGGATCCCTATTTTATTTTATTTTTTAAAGATTTTGTGTTTTATTCATGAGAGACACAGAGAGAGGCAGAGGGAGAAGCAGGCTCCATGCAGCCTTATTTATTTTTTAAAATGATTTTATTTGTTTTTTTGACAGAGAGAAAGAGCACGCACACAAGCAGGGGGAGCAGAAAGAGGAAGAAGCAGGTTCCCCACTGATCAAGGAGCCCAGTATGGGGCTTGGTCCCAGGACTCTGGGATCATGACCTGAGCCCAAGGCAGATTTTTTTTTTTTTTAAGATTTTTATTTATTTATTCATGACAGACACAGAGAGGGAGAGAGAGGCAGAGACATAGGCAGAGGGAGAAGCAGGCTCCATGCAGGAAGCCCGAAGCAGGACTTGATCCTGGGTCTCCAGGATTACACCCCCGGCTGACGGCAGCACTAAACCACTGGACCACCGGGGCTGCACCCAAAGCCGATTTTTAACCAGCTGAGCCACCCAGGGGCCCCCAAGGATAATTCTTTTAGGATGAACTCCCAATTTAGTTAGTTTGCTCTCTAAAGGCCAGTGTTTTCCCTAAACTGGTTGCTGAAAGTGCCTTTTGAGATGATACCAGCTTTCTTTTTAATGAATTTCAGACCCAGATTTTGAATCTAATATTGAAGAGGCAACAAGTTTTGGACATGGCATGGTTATTTTTGTTTATTCATTAAATTGACTGTAGGGCATCATTTTGCCAATGAGTGCAATGCAGCACATTCTGTAAAGCTATACGACTTGTAATTTCTTCTACAAATATTGAGCCTTTACTGAAGCACTTTTCTGTAAGGGAGTATCTCTGGTCACATATGATTTAAACATGATGGAATTCTCTGTTCTGATACATGTGACTTAATATCCTTCCATTAATTAATTTTTCTTTATATTATAGGCATATAGTTGGAAAGAGAGGGGACACTAGGAAGAAGCTAGAAGTGGAAACCAAAACTTCTATTAGCATTCCTAAGCCTGGACAAGAAGGAGAAATTGGTGAGACTCGGTATATATAAGTTATATTTGCAGTCACTTTTGTGTGAGTGTGGAATAGTGTGACCCGATTTAGTGATTTTTTTTTTTTTTTAGTGACCCTGGGTAGAATTGAATAGCGACTGTATTCTTTATGGGGTTCTGTAACAATTGGCCTTTTTACAATATATCAGTATTGATCTCCCAAATGAGGAAAGATGTAGTTATACAGCCCTATCTTGATTGAATATCTGGGTCTTCAGTTTATACTTTACCATGTACTGATGTTATAAAAAAGCTTCCAGATTTTCTTGTGTATTAGGAAGATCCTTTTATGCCTTATTAGCTTGAAATGGAGTTTGTGAATTGTTTCAAGTTAAAGAAAACCATTGAGGTTAGCAAATTTGCAATAAAGTTCAGCACTTCCCCAGAAGGGTTCTCTTGTTTTTACCTTGCTTTGTAGACTGGGAAGGATATTATAGAAGTAATGATTAGAATAACAACCTGAATCAAGTAACTGCTCAGGTGAGGAAAAATAGTTCAGTATAAATTAAGTCAGAAAGTGTCTGTACTAGGTATCATTGTGAACCAAGAGCATAGGCTTGTGTTGTAAAATGGCTTTGAGTGAAGGGCACTGTAGGGAAGAAAATTTTTGGAAACTCATTCTAAAATGATAAGACTTTTTCAAAGTCCAATAAGTGCAGCAGCCACCAATAATAAGTTTTTTATAATTACCCATAGGTTTTATTAAGTTTTAGGGAAAAAATTACTAGTACTTGTTTCATTTTGTGCTATGTAAGAATAATCATCATAGCAGTTGCCTCTAGGCAGCTAGAGGCAGTTGACTGTAGGGCAGTGCTGTCCAAAAGGACTTTCTGTGATGATGGAAATGTTCTATACCTCCACTCTCCAGTGCACTAGCCACTAGCATGTGGGATTGTGAGTACTTAAAATGTGGCTAGTATGACTGGGGAACTGAACTTTTAATTCCGTTTACTTCTAATTCATTTAATTTCTTTTTTAAAAAGATTTTATTTATTTGAGAGAGAGAAAGAGAGAGAGAGAGAGAGAGAAAGTAAGTAGTGGGAGGGGCAGAGGGAGAAGCAACCTCCCTGCCCGGCAGGGAACCTGATTCAGGGCTCCATCCCAGGACTCTGGGATCATAACCTGAGCCAAAGACAGGTGATTAACTTACCGAGCCACCCAGGCACCCCTCTAATTCATTTAACTTTTAATTTAACTCATTGCGTGTGGGTTCCTGTATTAGACAGTAAAGGTAGAGTTTTCCTTAGCCCTTTGGTAATATCAGCAGACCCTAACATGAGAACTTTAATGACATTTTTTAAGGACTTTGATTAAAATAAATATTACAGATAGAAGATTAAAGATTAAAGAAATATAAAGAAAGTTAAAGAAAATTACAGATTAAAATAAAATTAAAGATAGAAAAACCCATGTCTTTCCTTAAGTTTTAAAGTTCAAGCAGCAAATATTAATTTTATAATTGCAGTAAAGTTCATTTCTTTATCTACTTTTTTCCTGATTATAAATTAATACATGCTTTCAAAAAAACCAAAAGCTTACAGAAATTATATGTGAAACATTAAGGGAAGTCTTAGTATAATGAACCTCAGACATAATCACTATTAACAGTTGAATGTATTCCTCATTTTTTCTAACCATATAGTAACTATAATAATTTTTATTGCAGTAAAAATTATAACATGCTATAACTGTGGAGAGCTTAGCCATTTTAAGCTATCGGAGTCATTCCAAAACATACCCAGGAAAGGGTAGGCGGGTTTGTAAAGATTCCATTTTGACTTAGAAAGCACAAATATTTCAGTGTGAAACCAAGTTTGTCTAATTGTTAAAAGTAAAAATTTAGTGGAACTAATTTAATGGAAAAAAAGGCAGATAAATGGGTATATTGGTCTTGCAGGGAAGTAGAGTATATAGAAAAATCAATTATTGGTTAGAGTAAGTTGAGTTGTGATGTGAGACTAAGGTTGCACTGGTGTGGTATTTGCTGTCATTTATTCCTTTTGCCTCTCTCACGTTAGAGATACTAAAGAAGGAAATGATCTGTTAGGTTCTAATTTGTCCTCAACAAGGATTTGGTCATCTAATCTGTTTTGAAGTCTCAGGTAACGGGATATCAGAAGATGCTTTCAAAATGATACTGTCGGGATCCCTGGGTGGCGGAGCGGTTTGGCGCCTGCCTTTGGCTCAGGGCGCGATCCTGGAGACCCGGGATCGAATCCCACATCGGGCTCCCGGTGCATGGAGCCTGCTTCTCCCTCTGCCTGTGTCTCTGCCTCTCTCTCTCTCTCTCTGTGTGACTATCATAAATAAATAAATTTTAAAAAAATAAAACAAAATGATACTGTCATTGTAGTTAGAGAATTGGTTTCTAAAAGTTCAATTGAGGGGATGCCTGAGTGGCTCAGCAGTTTAGCACCACCTTCGGCCCAGGGCATGATCCTGGAGACCCGGGATCGAGTCCTACATTGGGCTCCCTGCATGGGGCCTGCTTCTCCCTCTGCCTGTCTCTCTCTCTCTCTCTCTCTCTCTGTGTCTCTCTGTGTGTCATGAGTAAATAATAAAAATAAATAAGTAAAAGTTCAATCAAGCCCTTTGTCGGGCTCTCTGCTGGGTGGGGAACCTGCTTCCAGAGGGAGCGAGAGGGAGAAACAGGCTCTCCACTGAGCAAGGACTCTAACACAGGGCTCAATCCCAAAACACTGGGATCATGACATGAGCTGAAGGCAGACAGATGCCCAACCAACTGAGCCACCCAGGCACGTGCCTGCTCCTAATAAATAAATAAAATCTTAAAAAGTTTAATGTCCATGCCTTTAACTCTATTTTTCCTATCCATCCCTTGATAGAGTCCCTAGATGCTTGCCACTTGAATTCTGGTCTTCTCAGATATTAGTGTTTGTAGAATATTTCTAACTTCATTGTATTTGCTTTTTAGTCATGAATTGAACAACTTTGACTCTTTTCTGGAAATCAGTCTGAGCCCTTTTAAGTGAGTGTCCTTATCAGTTTACTGTGTTACAGAGATGAAACCACCTTCTCAATGAAAAAGAGTAGATTCAGCATTTTGTACCAGACTTTGACAGAAATAAAACATAAACATGACTTTTAAGTTTCCTTCCCTTCTGTTCCTTTTCCTTCTGGTTTCTCACCACAATTTGGTCTCTAGTAGAGATAATTTTTACTTTCCTTTAATTTTGTTCCAGTTTGCCTTTGAACCCTCCTTTATCAATTTCTCTAGCACAATATTTGAGTACCTGTTATGGATACTTCCCTTCACTAGCAGTTGAGTCTTTTGGATTCTCCAAGTGTTCTATCTGATAATATAAATGATGCTCTTAGAAAACACCATATATCTTTAATTTATCTTTAATGTATCTTTAATATATCTTTAATTTTATTACATTTTTTGGTTATTACTCCTGTCAGTTTTTGACTTAGGCAAATGGTTCTCAGGCTAACAGAGACTAACAGTCAATTCATTCATAACCTGCTTCTTTTCCTAGAATTTTCTATCTTGTTTCCTTGTAGTAAAATGGGTATGATGCTTTCATTCTTATTGAGGAATAGAAAGGTTGTTCTTATAGAAAATTTCAAGTGCAAAAAAAAATTTCAAATGCTCTAATGAAGAGTATTAGGATAAATAAATGGAATTACTTCTTTCACTTTGTAGTTGCATGGAAGGACAAACTGTGGTCTTTAAAATGCATAGCCCATTTTGCTACTATTACAATTAATACTTCAGTATTTTATATCATATTCATAAGTCTCTTTCACGGTTTTTTTTTCTCTTTCACAGTTTTAATAGTTTATTGAAATGCCAATTTTGTTCATTGTTCATATCTTTTGCATCTTTCTTTAGTTGCTGTTTTGAACCAAGCCCTGTCAGTTCTACAACTTAGAGATTTAATCTCAGTTTACACAGAGATTATGTAATCACTAAATGATTTTGTTTCTCTGCAGACAGTGGTCTATGCTTTGTGCTCCCACCTTTCATTTAGACAGAAAGGCATAGCCCAGATCAGAGAAGGCCAAATTATACCAAAACATGGACAGTTGGTATCCATCCATATAATTATAGATAAATATTTTACTTTAATTTTCTGTTTTCATACATATACAGTAGGATTATATATGTTGTAGTAGACTCTCCTTTGGTCCTTCATTGTAGTGAATTTCTAGTAATTACAGCCACCGTAATTTTTTTTCCCAGCCACTGTAATTTTTAAATTGAGGTAAAATTGACATGACAGAAAATTCAGTTTTTTGCTCTGAAATTTTTTTTATTGTTATTTGAATTTTGATGTCATATAGTCATACTTTTTTTGTGTGTGGCTAAAACGTATACAACATAAAGTTTACCATTTTGACAGTCTTTTTAAAAAGATTTTATTTATTTATTCATGAGAGACACAGAGGGAGAAGGGAGAGAGGCAGAGACACAGGCAGAGGGAGAAGCAGACTCCATGCAGGGAGCCCGACGTGGGACTCGATCCCGGGACTCCAGGATCATGCCCTGGGCCAAAGGCAGGCGCTAAACCACTGAGCCACCCAGGGATCCCCCCAACAAATTTTTTTAAAGGGAAATCTACACCTCATGTGGGGCTCAAACTTTACCTCCAGATCAAGAATCACATGTTCTATCAACTGAGCCAGCCTTGGGACCTCCCATTTTGGCCATTTTTTAATTTTATTTTTATTTATTTATTTTTATTTTTATTTATTTATTTTTTCCATTCTGGCCATTTTAAAGTGTCGAATTCAGTGGTGTGTAGTCCATTTACAATGTTGTATAATAACCACCACCACTATCTAGTTTCTTTTTTGTTTTTTTGTTTTTTTGTTTTTTTAGATTTTATTCATTCATGAGAGAGAGAGAGAGAGAGAGAGAGAGAGAGAGAGAGGCAGGGACACAGGCAGAGGGAGAAGCAGGCTCCATGCAAGGAGTCTGATGTGGGACTTGATTCCAGTACTCCAGGATTACGCCCTGGGCCAAAGGCAGGCGCCAAACTGCTGAGCTACCCAGGGATCCCTCTTTTTTTTTTTTTTTTTAAGATTTTATTCATTTATTCATGAGAGACACAGAGAGACAGAGACAGAGAGGCAGCACTATCTAGTTTCAGAACATTTTTATCCTCCCCAAAGGAAATGTTATACCCATTAAGCAGTCACTCCCCAGTCCTCCCTACCTCCAGTCCTTGGCTACCACTGATCTACTTTCTTTCCCTCTGCATTTCTGCATTTGCCTGTTCTGGCTCCTTCCTGTTAATGGAAGCATACAGTGGCACTTTGTAAATGATGTCTTACACTTAGTATAATGTTTTCAAGATTCATTTATATTTTTGCATGTATCTGTACTGTATTCTTGTTTTGGGGGGTGCTGAATAATATTTCATTGTATCAAGATAGGACTTTTTTTTTTTTTAAAGATTTTATTTATTTATGAAAGACAGAGAGAGGCAGAGACACAGGCAGAGGGAGAAGCAGGCTCCATGCAGGGAGCCCGATGTGGGACTTGATCCCAGGACCCTGGGATCATTCCCTGAGCTGAAGGCAGATGCTCAACCACTGAGCCACTCAGGCATCCCTGGCTTTTTTTTTTTTTTTTTTCTGGATTTTTTTCTTGTATTTCATATTATTTTTAAAAATCTGTTCTTTTTTTTTTTTTTCGAGTAAACTCTGCCTATAATATGGGACTCAAACTTATGACCTCAAGATCAAGTCACATGCTCTACTGACTGAACCACCAGGTGCCCTGTAAATACCTGCTTTTACTTCTTTGGATTTCTTTTTTTTTTTAATTTTTTTTTTTTTTTAATTTATGATAGTCACACAGAGAGAGAGAGAGAGAGAGAGAGAGAGAGGCAGAGACACAGGCAGAGGGAGAAGCGGGCTCCATGCACCGGGAGCCCGACGTGGGATTTGATCCTGGCTCTCCAGGATCACGCCCTGGGCCAAAGGCAGGCGCCAAACCACTGCGCCACCCAGGGATCCCTGGATTTCTGTTTAGGAGTAGAATTGCTGGTCATATGGTAGTTCTCTTTTTTTAGGAACTGCTGTAGCTGTTCTGTAGCTGCTGTACCATTTTACATTCCTACCTGCAAGGTATGAAGGTTTGCTATGTAGCTTTTTAAACTCATTTTTCTACTTCATCAAGTGGTCTTAAGGATATTCTGGTTTTATTTTGTTCTTTAGAGAGAGGTGGGGGGAAGGGTCATGGGAGAGGTAGAAGGAGAATCTTAAGCAGGCTCCATGTCCAACACAAGCCCAACACACAGGGCTCAATCTCACAATCCTGAGATCATGACCTGAGCTGAAATCAAGCGTTGGACGCTTAACTGACTGAATCATCCTGGTGCCCCAAGGAATAGATATATATATTTTTTAGGATATTGTTTTTAAACCTCATCCTGCTTAATTGAGTTCATTAGCGATTTTTTTTTACCTTTGGTAAAAAACCTTGTTCAGAAATTATGTACACATTTGGGACTGTTTGACTCTGCAGAAATGACAGTATTGAAGGTCACTTACTCTACAAGTTTTGGATGGTTGTGTTAAACATTCTCTCCCCTTTTTTTGCTTGCAGTAATCACTGGCCAGCATCGAGGTGGTGTAATATCAGCTCGAACTCGGATTGATGTTCTTTTGCTGACTTTTAGAAGAAAGCAGCCCTTCACTCACTTCCTTGCCTTTTTCCTCAATGAAGTTGAGGTTCAGGAGCGATTCCTGAAGTTCCAGGAGGAAGTACTGGAGAAGTGCTCCATGGTAAGCAGCAAACAAAACAGAACAAAGAGTTAAAAAGAAAAAGTACAAGAAAGGAGATTTATAATTCAGACAGTAGAAAGATACACATTTCTTCTTCTGCCAAAAAGGCTAGCCATTTCTTATGTTTTCTTTTTGATTCTGAAGTGAATAAAAAGTATAGATATATCAGCACATAAGCCTCTGCATATTACTGACATATTCTTTAAAAATTTCAAGACATGGGGCAACCCTGGTGGCTCAGCAGTTTAGCGCCGCCTTCAGTCCAGGGCTTGATCCTGGACACCCCGGATCAAGTCCCACGTCAGGCTCCCCGCAGGGAGCCTGCTTCTCCCTCTGCCTGTGTCTCTGCCCCTCTCTCTCTCTCTCTCTCTGTGTGTGTGTGTGTCTCTCATGAATAAATAAATAAAATCTTAAAAAAATTTCAAGACATAAAAGTAGTATTCTAATATAGATACTATTCTGCACCTTGAGGGTGGCAATGTTAATGAGGTGCCATTATCTGTAGATCTTCTGCCCTAGGTGGTAATGGCTTATTTGGGGTTAGTAACTAGAGGAAATTTGCATATAGAATTGTCATTCTTATGTAACAGTGAAATGCTCCTGACCAAGATAACAGCAGATAATCTAGATTAGAAAACAGGTGGTTTTTTTTGTCTTTTTAAAGATTTATTTATTTGAGATAGTATGAGCAGGGGAGGGACAGAGGAAAAAGCTGACTCTCCACCGAGTGGGGAGCCTTGATGGGGAGCCTGATTTGGGGTTCCATCTTAGGACCCTTCAGTTCCATCATATACTGAACTGAAGTCAGATGCCTAACCCACTGAGCCACCCAGGCGCCCCCTAGAAACAAGTTTGAAAACTCCTTGTGGGGACGCCTGGGTGGCTCAGAGGTTGAGCGTCTGCCTTTGGCTCAGGTCATGATCCCAGGGTCCTGGGATTGAGTCCCACATTGGGCTCCCGGCATGGAGCCTGCTTCTCCCTCTGCCTGTGTCTCTGCCTCTCTCTCTCTCTCTCTCTCTCTCATGAATAAATAAATAAAAAAAAAATCTAAAAAAAGAAAACTCCTTGTGTATATAATTTTGGACGATTTAAAGAAACATTAATATTTTTTTTAATTTTTATTTATTTATGATAGAGAGAGAGAGAGAGAGAGAGAGGCAGAAACACAGGCAGAGGGAGAAGCAGGCTCCATGCACCGGGAGCCCGACGTGGGATTCGATCCCGGGTCTCCAGGATCGCGCCCTGGGCCAAAGGCAGGCACTAAACCGCTGCGCCACCCAGGGATCCCAAAGAAACATTGATTTAAAAACATTTATGAATATATGTTTTTTGTTTTTTCTTTTTTTAATACACCTTTTTTACAGAAGGTTTAGAAAATAAAAGATGAATAAAAGTCACACATAATCTCACCACTGAGAGATAATATTGTGGCACATGCACAAATGTTTAAAAAAATAGAATTTGGCTTCTGTATGCTTCTATATTCTGCTTTCCTTGACGTTTTGCATTATACCATGATCATGGTTTTGTCATTGAACAAAAATCTTTCCTTTTGCTTTGGAGACAGGAAGGAAGTCATAGCAGTGATAACTAAAATAACATAATCTTATTTTGATAACAGTTCAGATAACTTGGTTTTTAGCGACTACTTAGTATTCTATTACATGGATATATAATGATGCGGTTTGAAGTGGTAGGGTTCAGAACGAACAGCCAAGAAAGTATTCTTGAGACCTCTTGGTTGCAAAAGCGTGGTTTTATTAAAGCACAGGGACAAGACCTGTGGGCAGAAAAAGCTGTACCGGGGTTATGAGGAGTGGCTTGATTATATACTTTCAAGTTAGGAGGAGGTTAGGAAAAGCCTATGTCTCTAAGGAACTTCGGGAGCAGGGTTTCTAAGACCTCAAGGGCAAACTGTTAGGACAAGATCATTTATTACTGTGTAGTAAAAACCCTAGTCATGAGACCCTTCAGAAGTATATTGATAGGCCATATGCTTAGGGGAGGATTGCTAACATATACCTTGGGGGATAGAGATAAAGGAAGTGTCCAAAGGAATTTTTATGTGTTATAGTAGAGTTACAGGATCCTGGGAGGATAATGTTAAGCTAAGATTGCCTTTAGCCCTTAACAGAGTATCAAATAAGGCAGCTGAGTTCCTAAAGGAATGTCACTCTGCCTGTTTGAAGGATTTGTCAGTGGGCTGTAAGTAGTAAGGAAATGTAATTTTTCTTTTGCCTTTGCTTCCCAGATCACATAATAATAATTTATCTTTAAATTTTTTTTCATTGTTGTAAATAATGTCATTATGACTTTTCTTCTGTGTATATTTTTCTGCACTAGTCTAGTTTCTTAGTAAATTCCTGAAAATGGAAAAAGAGTATGTGCATGTGCGTTTGAGGGTTTTGATATATATTTCACATTACCTTCAGGAAATGCTAGAACACTTCAGTGTCAGACTAGTTTTCTTTAGTTTCCTTTTCCTACCCTTGCCAATATTGGTGTTACTATTATTTTAAGTTTTTTTTTTGTTTCGTTTTTTGTAATCCAGTTGACAAAAAATATTAGCTTGTTGCTTGGTTGTTCATTTATTTGATATTGGTGAGATAAGACTTTTTCATATATTTTTGTTTCTTCATGTCTTGTCCCATTTTTCTCTGAGCGTTCATTTTTTAAATTTATTTTTAAGAGCTTCATGTATATTAAGAGGATCAGTATTACTTCACAATTTACACTTAACATTTTAGTTTATTTGGAATGTATCTTGATATATAACAAGAGGTAAAGTAGCTTTTTTAAAACCTGTAGTTAACTAGTTATCAACAAGAATTTAAAAATCTTTTATTTTATCTTAAAAATTATGTAGTAAAATGGACTTCTTGGGGTGTGTTTAGATTTTTTTTGTGTGCTTTTTTTGCTATCTTTATATCCTCTTTGGTGAGATGTCCACATCTTTTGCCTATTGTAAAATTATTTGTTTTCTTACTGTTGAGTTGTGAAAAGTTCTTTTATATTTTTTCTTGTTACAAGTCCTTTCAAGGATATGGGATTTCCAGATATTTTTTTCCAAGCCATGGCTTTTCTTTTCATTCTCTTACTAGTGCCTTTTGCAGAGTAAAAGTTTTAAATTTTGGTGAAATCCAATTTATTAATTTTTCTTTTATGGATTGTGCTTTTAGTGCCATGTCTAGGAACTCTTTGTTTAACCCCAGGTCACCAAGGTTATCTGTAGCATTTTTGTAATTTTACTTTTTTTTTTTTTAAAGATTTTATTTATTTATTCATGAAAGACACACAGAAAGAGAGGCAGAGACACAGGCCAAGGGAGAAGCAGGCTCCATGCAGGAAGGCCAGTGTGGGACTCAATCCCGGTATTCCGGGATCACACCCTGATCCAAAGGCAGACGCTCAACAGCTGAGCCACCCAGGCGTCCCATGTAATTTTACTTTTTTATATTTAGATCTATGATCCAGTGAATTTTTATATTAGGTGTGACATTTAGGTCAAAGTTCATTTTTATGCATATAGATGTCTATCTATGCTGTGTTTTTTCAATAATTACATGATTGAGAGGAGTAAAAGCATACAGAATGAAATAGAACAGTGGTTGATATCTTTGGTTCTTGAAACAGATGAACCTGAGTGTGATTCTGGGTTCCTCGATCTGTGTAGACTTGGACAAGTGAACCTTTCTATCTTTTTTAAGTAGCTTTTTTTTTTTTTTAGATTTTTATTTATTCATTCATGAGAGACACGCAGAGAAAGAGGCAGAGACACAGGCAGAGGGAGAAGCAGGCTCCATACAGGGAGCCAGATGTGGGACTTAATCCCAGGTCTCCAGGATCACACTCTGGGTCAAAGGCAGGAGCTAAACTGCTGAGCCACCAGGGCTGCCCAAGTGAATCTCTCTAAATCCTTTTTTTTTTCCCTTTTAAATATGCTCCATGCCCAGCATGGAGCCCAACATGGGGCTCAAACTCAAAACCTGAGCCAAGATCAAGAGTTAGACACTTAATTGAGCCACCAAGGTATCCCCTCTCCAGACCTTTATAGCTTGCTTTGTAGGAAGGATTTAATGAGGTAATGTAGAGTACTAAACGTGGTGCTTGAAACATAATAAGCATATCATAAATGGTAGCTACTACTTCTGCTATTTTTTTAATTTTTTTTAAAATTTTTTTATTTATGATAGTCACACAGAGAGAGAGAGAGAGGCAGAGACACAGGCAGAGGGAGAAGCAGGCTCCATGCACTGGGAGCCTGACGTGGGATTCGATCCCGGGTCTCCAGGATCACGCCCTGGGCCAAAGGCAGGCGCCAAACCGCTGCGCCACCCAGGGATCCCTACTTCTGCTATTTTTATGACTACTTAGATTAAAATTATTAGTATTCCTTGGTGTATTAAGAAAAGATGAGGGTTGTCTTTAATAGTTGTGTGCTAGGTTAATGAAAATGTTCTGGGTGAAAGTTTTTACAAGATTCTTCTGTCTATTGTTCCTTTTTTTCCCCTCCTTTTTTCTTTTCCTTTCCTTTCCCTTATCCTGTTCTATTGCTCTAGCTGGGTCTTTTTTTTTTTTTTTTTTAAAGTGGGCTCCATGCTGGGTGTGGAGCCCACATGGGGCTTCAACTCACAACCCTGAGATCTGAGATCAAGACCTGAGCTGAGATCAAGAGTCAGATACTTAACAAGTTGAGCCACACAGGTGCCTCTCAAACTGGCTCTTAAGTGTTAGAATATAATGAAATATAGATACACAGATACAGAAGTATTAGAATCCAAGTACTTGTGTGGGACTGGGAGTCGGAATTGATAAAATTGATTATTTAAGAAGGAGACTACAGCATGGGATAAGATATAGAGAAGTTGAATCATTGTGCTGTACACTTGAGACTAATGTAACATTGTGTGTCAACTCTACTCAAATTAAAACAAAATTTTTTTTAAAAAGGAGGCTACCGGGACACCTGGGTAGCTCAGCATGTCATCTGGAGTCCTGGG